CACACACACACACACACACACACACACACACACACACACACACACACACACACACACACACACACACACACACACACACACACACACACACACACACACACACGACACAGAAGACACAAGTATCGAAACTATGGCTCCTACAAGGAAAACGCAACAATGAACACCAACCCTGTCCACCGGCCAGCACACTGCCTCCCGGCTAGTCCGGGCGGGAGGAAATGTGTCAATGAAATGTGTGCCCCCCGCGATACGATACAATGTGCTCTGTCCACACAGAAAGTACAAATGCACAATACCCAGAGGGCTCAGTTTTAATAAAAGCCGCGTAGCAGGGACAGCCCGACTGTATTCAGGTAAATACTAAGCTAACTGAGTAGCGTCGTATTAAAAGAAACACTGAGACAACTTTGGCGCTGGTGACACATTTGAGCGAGCTGAGACACTCAAACAAGGCTATCTAACGAGGTAGAACCGTCCGGTCCGAAAAAGTGGCAACATGAAGCTTGCTTGAGAACAGAGGTAGTTTGGAAGCAAAGCCTGCATGACGTCAAGTATACCATATTTGATGACGTCAGTGGCACGGAGCCCTGTCAGTTAGCCAGCTGACTGTTACACAACCCATTAATTTGAATAGTGGCATGTCTTGGTGGCGTGCGGCTGGCGGTTCCCCGTTGGACTGAGAAGAAATTATCCGTCATTTCGCTATTCGCACACATTTCTGGAATGAGCAGTGAGTCATGGAACAGTTAAGCCTCATCAGAATGTACGATTTTTGCATGTATGATGATATAACACGGGGATATATGTCATGCGGCGTTTGTGGCGTATTGCATTCCATGACCAGGCTTGTCGTTGGATAGCCGTAGGCTTGGCTGTGCCGTTTGTGCCTGGTGGCAGAGTTGAACAGCTCGGCTTGCATAATTTACTTTGCCTATAGGCATGATTATATGAACATTTGCAATATTGATTTGTAATAGCTCTCGCTTTTCTTATCAGTGATGTGAGTGCAGTAAGGTAAGTAAAGTAAAACCCTATGATATTGGCTTTATGATGCTACTGTCAAGTGTTTCTTTACATCAGGGCTTGTACACATATGCATAATAAAATGCTCACAGACTAAGCATTTTAAATGCCACCAATTGTTCAAGACAAGCTGCTCAGGAGATCTCTCGTACGAGGCGTAGTCATGGCAACTGCGACACGCGATGCGCTACAAACGCCGCATAACGTTTAATCCCTAGCTATGTACACCCCACGGAAGGATATAAAAATTATGATGAGGTCAAACTATTCCGAGATTCAATCTCCCTTCCAGAATTGTGTTTGCATGAAAAGGCCGTGGACCACTCATTCAGAGTCCAACCGGGAAGCGCCAGCCGCACGCCCCCAAAACATACCATTCAAACTAGTGGGTTGTGTAGCAGTCAGCTGGCTAATTGAGAGGCTTCCGTGCCACTGACGTCATCAAATATGGTATACTTGACGTGATGCAGGCTTTGCTGCCAAACTACCTGCATTCTCACGCAAGCTCGATGTTGCCACTTTTTGATAGAGTTAACCGATACGGATGACACCCCCCTGCACTCCAACGAATATGTGATAAACAACCACTAAACCATGCAACAAGTGTGACTTATAATCTAAAGAGGTGGCTTTTTAAAGCGCTGCCCCCACCGGAAAGGAGGTCGAGTAGGTCAGCCAGTCCAACGCCGGATGGGGGTGATCAGCATGCTAGGCTCTGCACTTCCCGGAGTAGTACAGCCTCAGCGTGATCCGGAAAGGCTGACTGACTGGCGGCCGCGACGCGTCTTCTAATGTACGGCCGCTCCGTGACAGTTACGGCTCGCGCGGCGCCCGCCCCTCACGGCCGCCGGTCTTGATGCTGTCCTGTCCCCAGGGACGGCCGGCCGTTCATCAGAGTGCTGGCCCCCGGGCCGGGCCGGGTCGGTGGCTTGTCCGATGTGGCAGTGTGGTCGTTGGCGCCGGGGCGGGACGCGCGGTCGAAAACTGTCGTGGTACGTCGGCCGGGCTTCCCACAAGGCTGTTATGTTACGCAACCTTGGATACGCCGTTGATTAACTCCAAAAGTATATTGTAGAAGCAAAACAGTTGTTGCGTCAGCAAAGCATCAGACAAACAACCCGTATCACCCAATGCAAACGCATGCTGCACAAACACTGCCAGCAGCTTTAATCGCTGGAATAATGTTTTTTTTGGTGTGGATGTGTCACGCACACTCTTAACCTTACCTGAAGATCATGCCTTGCGCCCTAAGAAAAATTCACAGTCGGCTTGGACGGGTGCTTAGCACAACGCAAGAGCAACTTACACCAAAGTAACACCTGAACCTTCCTCCCAGGAACCACCGCTATCATCGCGCCTTCTCCGTGAGTCCTGGCCTAACGGCTGGCCCAGCTCCACAAGCTCCCATGCATACCGCGCCAGGGGTTCGGAAGCCGGCGGGGGTCCCACGATCGCCGCGGCTGCATTGGTTCCGGCGCGGAAGAGCACTGCTGCGGCCACGAGGCCAAGTCGCCCCGGTACTGCGTGCACACATGCGGGCCCCGCACCCCACAGCTTACACACCGCGCCGGCACCGGCCCTTCGCCCGCCGCCGCTTCGCGGTAGTGTCCCCACTGGCCGCGTGGTACACGCGAGAGAGTCGCAGGGTCCTTTTCGGCGTGGTCATGTCCCCATGCGCCGGGCTGCTCCCGCCGCGCGTCGTCCTCCGCACAGTTATGTCCCCACTGACAGCATGACGCGCACCACTGATTAGCAGGATCCACCTCTGCACAGTCGTGTCCCCACTGGGCGCACGAGTCGCACCACGGCTGCTGCAGCTGCTGCGCGAGCGGCCCATGCGACCAGGGACTGAGCGGACCCCGCACGACCCGGCGCGACCTCGCCACAACCCGCCGCAGCTGAGGGACGCGGTCCGGCACCGCCAGCGACGGGCAGGTGTGCGTACCGACGGTGCCGTAGCGCGTGCGCTGAGCCGAGCACAGCTTGTTGTGTCGCTGCCGGCTGTCCGAGCTCCACGAGTGACAGGCCAAACACAGCCAGGGGCAGCGTCCGGGGCAGCGGAGCCCGTGCTGCTGCGCGTTCCCCGCCTTCTCACCGCACACGGAGCACGGCGGTGCGCCCGCGCGGCACGCTGTCTCGTGGTTGCTCAGAGCCTGCGCCGTGCGCAGTTGCTGAGAGCATCGCCGACACAGGAGGGATTTGGGATTTGACTGCGCGGACGTTGAGGTCGCCGCTATCGGTTTGTCTTTCGATGCGAGGTCAGTGCTCCGTTTAGCCGTCTGCTCAGTCTGTTCCACGTGCGGGTTCGGCTGAGAGGAGTTTTGCGGATGCTCCGAGGGCAGCTCGGAGGAATTGAGTCGATCGGCAAACTCGGAAGCCGTCGACGCAGGAGTTAGCTTGTCATCAGTTGAGGCGCTTGACTTCGCCCTGGTTTCTGATGACAGGCCTGATGACCCCTCGGCGGTCGACTGATGACCTGACTTGCTGCCAGAACTTGCGGGGTCCCCTGCAGTTGACGTCAACTTGCCATCACCTGAGTTGCACAATTCTTGCTTAGCTTTCGATGGCAAGTCTGACTTTTCTCCAGGAGCAGGCCGATCACTCGACATGTCCTCTGACGTCAAACGGCCCGATGGGTCAGTATGACTCGGCTGCGCAGCCTGGGCCGAGCACACCTTATGGTGGGCCCGTCGGATGTTCGACGTCCATGTGTGGCAGGCCAGACAGAGCCACGGGCAAATCCCGCGGCAACGACGGCCGTGCTTGAACGCATCTGTCACATTCTCACCGCACGCGGAGCACGGCGGCCCACCCGCGCGGCACGGCTTGTCATGCCTGTTCAGGGCCTCCATCGAGGGCAGACACTTGAAGCACCTCGGGCAGCGATGATACTCCAGGCCTGACTCCGTGGACGCTGGAGTCACTGGATCAGCACTGGTCGCAGTGGTCTTGCAGGTCTGCGTGGTCTCTCCCGGCTTGGACGCCTGCTTGGTCTTCCCCAACTGCGGGCTCGACTGAGGCGCATTCGTAAGCTTTTCACCACTTGAGACACATGCTTCTTGTTCAAGCCTCGATGGCGGGTCTGAACACACCTCCCTGGCGCGTGAATCACGCGAAATGATTTCCAAAGTCGAACGCTCCAACAGGTCACTACAGCTCAGCTGAGCAGTAGCTGAGACGGCGTGAGGAACTGACGAGCATGAATCATCTGTACCGACAGCCACCTTATCGTGACTTTCGCCACTTGGAGGCGCCCGGAGCGGTTCATTTGCAAATTCTACCGCAGGTATCAACTGGCGAGACGCCTCTTCAGTAGGTTTACACGAACTCTCTTTGGAACTGGGTCTAATCAACCCTTTTTCAGGGGTGGAACTACGCAAGTCCACAGCAGGCATTGCCTTGCTCACATTTTCTTCACTTGATAACTCCCCTACACGGGATAGCAGTTCCTCGGGCGCGGCTCCCGCGGCTAACATCTGTTTCTTGTCCTGAGAGCTTGCCAGAAGTACCCCTTCTGCAGTGTTCGCATGTAATAATTCCTCGTCGGACAACCGAGGCACTTTCGCGTCAGTGGGCCCCTGACAACATTCGGCCTCTTCCGAAGCTGCCAGACCAGAGGAAACATCCCTGTTGCTCACGAGAAGGGCATCCTCCTCCGATTTCGGTTGTTGGCACGCTTCCTCCCGAACCACTTGAGAGCAAGGCTCCCTCCTAAGGAACGAGTCAGGACGTGATTCTTTAATCCCAAGTGGATTGCCCGACTCATCCATGTGTGAGGGCTCATGGACCAAGTCTTTGGGGGCTTGCAGTTGTGATTCCTGATCGGTTGGCTTATCATGACTTTCTATCGATTGGCTCATCGGGGCTTCGTTACCGTCCGAATGTGAATCAGTGGTTAATTCACTGACAGCTCTCTGCAAGGGGACTGACTGACTCAGCTCACTGTGAGACAAACGGCGTCGTGATTCAGCGTCTACTGTCGTCTCATCTTGAACGGTCTCCTCATTCACTGGCTCTGTTTGGTGGAGCTGGTCGCTCGACTCGGTCTCGACGGGCGCCTCCTCGCTGAGCAGCTGCTCACATCGCTGGTCACCGTGACTTGAATGACGGGTCAACGGCGCCTTCGGACTGGACGTAAGCCGTAATCTGTCCGCTAACGTTGTCCGGCCGGTCGAGCTCTTCTTGGCTGAAGAGCAGCTCGTCTCACTGCTTTGTTGCTGACGTTGCTTGACAGTCACCGTCCGGCTCGCAGGAGAGCGTCTCCGCCTGCTCTCTACATCTGTCGGTTGTTGGTGATAACTTTTATCGGATGGGGATGAACGGCCGGACCGATGTGGTGTCGAGCGGTGAAGCCCGTCTCCCTCTTGCACGTGGTGATTCTGACACCAGTCAGGTGCCGGGCCTGGACGAGAATTCCCCGAAGACCCCGAGCGACGGCGACGTCTGTCTAGTGCGAAGCTTCTCTCAGAGAACCAATGGTAACGCGACGGTTGGTGCGGCATATGATGTCGCGGCCTTCTAGCCCGCCAACAGTGGCGCGATTCCCCACCAGACGACGAGCGATGCCGCGACCTGCTTCTTGCGCGCCGGTGGCATGTACTTTCCACGGACGCTGATCGAGGCCGCCTGTCGGAGTTCCGCTTTGGCGAAGACCTCTCCGCCGATGCCAAACGCCGGCATGACAACTCAGATCTGCGGCGTCGACGAGATCTTTCCGGTGAACACAAGCGACGGCTGATCCTGCTCGCTGTGCTGCGATGACGGTCCCCTGATGTAGAGCGACGACGCGATCTTTCTTCAGACGACCAGCGCCGACGATATCTTAAGGTTGACGTGCTGTGTCTTAACCTCCTCCCGGGTGACCTCCGGCGGCCCTCGGCGTCGGTTGCGGACCGGCGGTGTGAGTCTTCACTAGACGACGAACGGCTCCATGACATCCCGTCAGTCACGCCGGGCGGTGCCACAACGCCGTGCGACCGACGCGCATGATCTAGCAGCTCCGCAGACATGCACTCCCTTCGGCAGACGGGACACGGCTGTTCTGACGACCCATCTGGAGCAGAGTAAACAGCAGACGGGACGTCACAGAAATGATCAGCAGCGAAACCTAATCATGACTGCTGGGACGGAGGTCAAATCAGTGTGCCACGACTTCCCTCGTTCCATCGCAACGAGCGTAACGAGATGCTACCATGCCGACCGACACGTGGTGTCCGTCTACATGCCATGGTGTAACCGCTCTTAAAGTCGGTGGAGTCCGCGCTACAGCAGCGTTTGAGCACATCGGTCCATTTTTGTGTTCCACCCACAGAATGCGGCAGCAAACCGGAAGCGGACCACGGTAACATTTAAGGCATGGCTAAGGCCGCGTTAAATGCGTTCACAAATTTGAAACGATATCAACGAGCATCTCATGACTTTTAACTGGCGATTTCACGTACAACAGCTGAGCCACGGTAACGAAACAAACGCCATGTCCATGGCGTCACCTGGTCGGGATGACAAGTGGAGGAAGGTCTCCCACGGATCCCTGTGCACGGTCTGATGAACGTCGCAAACCAACTCCTCCAGCCTGCGAGGGGAAAGAAGACTTAGATCTGTTAGCTTTTGCAATGACAGCGGAAATATCTGCTGCACAACCCAAGCCGCAACCACGGACAGAGCTTCCGTGAAGCTGTTTTTCGGCCACTGTTACGTTCATCGCACAACGCAGGCAACTGGGTAATGCTCACGTAGTTCCAGTTAGTTCGTGAAGTTAAGCATGACAGCAGCAACATCACAGAATGCGCAAGAAATCTCGCAACGGCCGGTACTCCCCAACCGGAAACATCAGTTGTAGCGCTGTACCAACCTGACTGGAAATGGAGACGCGGTGACCAGGTACCCCTTACTTCTCTTTGACACGTTCCGCTCTTCTTCTGGATCGTGCCAGCAACGTTTGATGGGCAATATTGCGGTGTGCCTTCTCTTCGATGCTTCCGAACCACTTTCGTCTGATTTCGGAAAGGCGCGCTTACTGCGTTCTACCGATTGATCGCATCTATTTGAGGCTGCATTACCATCATCATCTGGATCCTCCCAGCACTGTTTTCTGGGCGAGCTCTCGGTCTTCAGGCAGTTCAGCAGTTGCATACCTGCCCGCAGCATTTTTTGTGCCTGTCGTTGAGCGACTTTCTCTTGCACGGTAGCAAGTGTCATCGTTAAGCAACCGTCGTTATACACCCCACCGTCCTTCGAAGAGTTTAAGGCGACTGGCCACTTTGCAACTTCTGCTCTTGCTGTAACTAACATGGACCCCTGGCTCACCTCTGTCAAGTTGGATCGTTCTTTTCCGGCATACTTTTCGTCGAGTCCAGTTTTCTGATCCTCCGGCACTTGTTTCCAATCTTCTCCTGGCAAAACCCTCACCGATGTATTTCCGTGCGGCGCCCCCTCGCCTTTCACGGCTGCAGCCGGGCCATCCTCGTCCTGGTCCTCAGACTCAATAACGATGATTTCGTCCGTGAAGCTCCACGGCGAGTACAACGCGCAATCGGGTGACATGGGCGTGTCCACAGGCGACACAACACTGCAGCTCGGTGGGTCAAGCCGCCCGCTTCCAGTCTCGACGGAGTCTGTCGCAACGCTGGGAGGCGACCGGCTTCCCACGGGTGTCTGCGAAACGGCGCCGTTGACTGCGTTAGCCGGTTCGTCACGTGACTTGACAGCCACTTCGGATGGGCTTTCCACGTCTGCGGGAGAAGCGGCACTTTTGACGGCATCGGCGAGTTCGTCACGTGATTTAGCATCGTCCGAAGAAAGCATCTCCACAAGCGTGGCAGAGGCGATGCTTTTGACTGCGCCACCGGGTTCGTCACATGCTTCATTGCCAGCCGCAGGTGGGACCTTGACAAGTATCGAAGCGTTTTTTACCGTGTCAGCGGGTTTGTCGCATTGGTTGCTATCATCCACGAACGGGCTTTCCAGAGGCATTGGAGAGGGGATGTTTCTATTTGCGTCTGTAAGCTCATCACGTGGTTTGCCATCAGCCGTGGATGGGCTTTCCACAGGCACCGGGGAAGCAATGTTCTTGAATGCGTCTGCGGGTTTATCACATGGTGCAATGGCAGGCGCTGATGTCAGATGGCTCTTTTGCCGTTTCGGTTCGCCAGCAGAATTCCCGACGACCGGCGGCATTTCGTCGGCAGTGACGGGCTTCAGTTTTTCAGTAGTCTTCTCGGGAGATGACAAAGACGTAGTCGCAGTGGGGGTTATTTGAACAGATATATGGCATCTCGCGCTGGCGGCAGCCCGCGCAGTGTCAGAAGGTGATGGACCGCACCCTGGAATACTGCTGAGCACACCCAATGGATTCCGTGGCGGGGTTGCCGTAAGTCTCGGGGGTGGTGCGTGAAACCTCGGAGGTGCTACCTGAAGCCCAGGCGGTGGCGCGTGAAGTCCAAACGGTGGTGGAGGTGGCAGGGCGTGGAATCTCGGTGTTGGTCCCGGTGGGAGCGGTGTCGGGTGCACGCCCGCTGGCCCAGGAGGCGCAGCGTGTAGCCCCGATGGCGGGTAGCGAGGCCCCGGTGGTGGCACTTGAAACCCGGGTGGCGGCACGTGAAGCTCTAGCGGTACCGCGCGCAGTTCCGGCACTGGGGCATTATGGGCGTGAGGTTCTGAACTCAAGCCGTCCTCCTCTCGCCTCTCCGCTTCGGGCGGATCGTTCGGCCCCGGACGGGGGCTGATCTGAAATGGATTCAGCGGAAGGAACTCGTTCTGAAGCTCGGCAACGCTTCTCAGGTGAGGGCCGAATCCCGTGAACAGCTCTTTTTTCACGTCCGGACAGATCACATCGCGCCAGCTGCTCGTACACGTGACGCGGTCCCGAGCCGACGCCGGCAGTCGCTCGCTCTGAAGCGACACCAGATCGCAGTTGCCATACAGCCGCCGGATGGTGGTGGCGAACAGGGAGTCTATCACCTGGCGACTCGGCAGAGCCCGCAGGAAGGGCAGCCCGTATGCATCTGGAACACGGACACAACGTTTATTGTCACGGTAGACCTACTGGGCGGGCAGAAGCTGAACTTCGATGCATCCGGCGGCTTCTTCCAGTCAAATAAGATTTTTGTGAAGCAAAGTAGCAGCTTACAGAGACTTCAAATCACACCGCACAAGGACATGAGTTGTGTAGTGCACAAATTGGGTTCGATGACTGGAGAGATTCACTGGTTTATAACCTGCCTTTTTATAGCCTGTTATATGTGCCTGAGCAGCGTGACTTTAAGGCGGCATAAATTTTGGATCCTTCTTCGTTGAAAAAGTATGATGTAGGTAGGGAGCGTGAACGCCAGGTAGCTCATGATACATTTTTGCTCACTGTGCTGTAACACGATAGCATCCAGCGTCATGCTGCAATAATGGCAAAACGTGATTGTACCGAGTTCACACAGCATGTTTGTCAAAGGGACCTGCCCAAACAGCTTCACTGAATTTTGCCTGCAAAGAGCGTAAAACCCTGGTAAAAAAAACAGTTTCTCAGCCCACCGAATCCCCGATACCAGAGATGCCACTAATTTTGTGTACTGTCTTCCGCCGCAACCATGCGACGCCGCCATAATGGATGCGCTGCCAAACAGTGCTTGTGGCCCACTGAGTGCCGAGTTTTAATATAGCGTGAAGTGTATTACGGATTACCAATGCAGGTGTATAAGGGATAATTATCGATGTCTTTACACAAAACTCCGTCTTTCAGACAACATTGTAAAAGGAACTGAAATACACGGTAAAAAGACGTGTTCGGGTTTCACGAAAGGGGATACAAGCAGCCTCAAACCTCGACCTGCACTAAGGTGCTGTGAGTGGATAACGTATAAAAATGCATGCACATGCTAACTTGAAGGAAGAAAAATAATCTTTTTGACCCAGAGAGCATGCAGGATTGAAGGGAAGCTAAAAACAGCATGTCGCATCCCGCCTTTCATTTTTGCGCAGAGAAGAGCACCTAAAAACTGTATGCCAAAGATGAGTTCGGGAAAGACAAATGGGTGTGTGTTTGGGGGGGGGGGGGGATTGCAGCCACCGAAAACTGTGGCCACGAGCAGAGCCCGTCAGCTGACGGTCACGGCACTGAGTCAAGCTCCAAATACCCGTCCCGTCTCCCTTTCTTTGGAAAATTGGATACTATGGCACATTGTCATTGACGCCACATAGGCACTGTAATTCATTCGCGGACGAAATCACCCAGTTTACTTGACATGCGTTCGATTCAAAACCCGTTTTGACAATTTCTGGGATCACCCGGTTTCGCATCGTTTACATTCGCCACTGAGTTTGCAGTTTTCAGATATTGCCATAGCATATAAATTTTGAAATGATTATCGATCTACGTCGGTTGCACCACAATCAGCTGATAAATATGACACGTGCGTCACATGAAATGTTCTTATATCCTTTTGGATCACCTGTTCCCCACCTTGAATAAACTTTTGGGGTTTTTAGTTCATAGGAACTCACATCTCGTCGAGAGAAATCAAACGCCAGTTAGTTCCGCGTAATTGGCTCAGTAGCTCCCAAGATCTCACGGCATCAGGGAGGAGATCAGCCTCTGTATTTCCCGGAATAGCTTTAACTGGCGGACTTACACGGAGTGGAAAAGGGTTAATGGGTTAATGGAGAGCCCTGCCGAAAAAGGGCTATACTAAGAAGTCTGCCGACATTGAATGGTAAACAAAGAACGGTTGACAAGATATAATACACCTTTTTGTGCATAAATATACGAATGAACGATGTACGAGTTCAGGGATACCATAGCTTTCTACATCTGTGCCAAAGCTGTCACTTTATGAAACTTAACACCCCCGTCGCCCGGACTTGGAAGAACGCCTCGCCTCGCATGTTACGCTTTGCCGCAAGTCTGATCAGGCCTGTAAGCTTAGCAGCCTTCCCAGTTACACATGTTTCTTACATAAGCATTAGATAGCAAGTATCGTGGCCAACACGATACCAGAGAGGGAACCTTCTAGGCCATCCGTCTTCAGGACTGACATTGATCTACCACACTTGAAACTGGAGCAAACCAAAGTGTCGTAGTTGTGTTAGAATTGGGACTCGTCATCTTTTCGCCCCCAGTGTCCCGAGAGAGGTCGGCTGATAGCTTGGATTTCGCTGCTTGAACTTAAGGTTTGAGTGTAATACATTTGATAGGTGCGTCTGTAAAATAACCATATCGTTTGTGTCTAGTGACCTTCGGTTTCGGAGAGCAAACCAAAGCCCACCAAATGTGACAGGTTTCATTTTTTTTACCAGCAATGACTGGCTGAAAAGGCGATTACTGAAAGGGAAAAAAAGACGTCACACCATCAAACGAAGAGATTAAAAAAAAAACAGCTGAACTTAGAGGGACCTGCAAAACGGACACCTACCTTCCAAAAGTGTCCTCTTTTCCTGCGGGAGGGAGCGGCGTCCCCAGGCGGACATGTCTCTGTTGCTCGTCCTTTCAGCCGTTTTCCGTCCTTCGTGAGCACGAGCCGGTTCTGCTGTCCTCGCCTCACTTTTTTCCTTCCCTTTCTGCTTGCTTGTTCGAGAATTTTTTAGTTTCTCCCCTGAAACCACTGCCTTCGAAAGCTGTGTTTCTTGCTGGCTTTCAATGTTAGTACGAGGTACCATTTTCCTGGAAGACTGACTCAGCATCGTCCGAACGTGGCCCAGCGCGGCTCGCACTGCTTTTGTGCACAGCTCCAGCTGCTTCTCTACAGTCAACCCGTGCCTTTTGTTCAGATTGTCCCTCGCCCTCTTAGCCCTAGTGAAAGTCTTCCCAACCTTTCTGTCGTGGGCGCCTTTTGATATGCTGTCTCTAAAGTTGTCCAGAAGCCAAAACGTTTTCTCACAGTAGTCATCGACGCACCTGGCGGCATCGTCGTCGGGCTTGCCACCTGCCGCAGATTTGGGCGCCCAGGTAAACAACCGCGAACTCGTTTTCACTGGTGACGTCACAGGACCAGTCGGTGTGTCTGTCTGAGTGCCATGGTCTGCCTTCGTAACAGCCATTATGGGGGCCGAAACTTCCGCCGTAGGCACTTCGCCAGCAACGTGCGCCTTCCCTGAGCGGCCTCCGGCAAAGCCATCGACCTGCGTACTCTGGTCTGCTTTAGAAGAGCAGGGCGCGGGCGGATTACCTTCCGTTGCCAAATCACCATGAAGTTCCTCACCGCCCGTTGACTTCGTGCCGAGCTCATGTAATGTTGTGGGAGCAGCTGCTGTTGCCTTTTCATCATCTGCAGCACTGGCAGCCACATCCGCTGGAAATGAAAATTCTTGAAATTCGTCTGTGATACTGACAGCACACTTGTCCACTGTGGATACCCGTGACATAACGGCTTCAAGTGGGCAGGATCGCGCTTGGGCGCCCTCCGGCGTCGGTGACGTCATCGCGGCGCTCGCCTGCTCAAGCTTTGGTGAGGTTCCAACTGTCTCAGTCTGCGCGGAATGCAC